ATCCTGGGGGCTTTAGCTGCTCCCCGATGATTTCAGATCAGCTGTCTCAAGGGCCAGGAAACGATTCAGCTTCGTTCGAAAAGCGCAGAAAAAGCCGGCTGGCTTGGTTGTGGTCTGTGTCATGCTGCATGCTGCCATTACTTCAAAACCACTCACCTGATTTTCGATTTTTTCCCAGTTTTCCAGGTTCGCAGACCGCGCTGCAGCTGTACTGCACCATGGTGTCCTTGTTTGCGTCAAACACCTTCTCATTATTTTCAATTGTTTTTCTCGATTTTCCTGGTTCGCAGTCCTTGCAGCAGCTGCGCTGCATCATGGTTTCCTTGTTTGCATCAAAATTGCCAGTGCCATGTTGACTGTGCCTATTTGCGACTGTCGCTCCCGTTGCGCTCAAGTTTGATCACCTGAGCTACTGTTGTCCACCTGTGCCGGGAAATTGACTTAAACAAATACATTCGCTGCATTGGCCGCCATGGAAACGCAAGACATAACTGCGGTACTGCCCAGTGGGAAACAGCAGACTGTCACGCTAGCAGTATCAGCCAAGGTTCAGGAACTCAAAGAGATTTTGCAGCGATGCTTCGATCAACAGTTCTTGGTCATCCTGGACGCGCGAGGTGCGGTGTTGCGGGTCGATGGTATGATTCCTTCGGCTGCAAGCGCACACTGCGTTACATGTGTCGCGCGTTTCCCTTGTCTCGCTTCAACCTGGAAAGCCTTTGCTCTGTGGTGTCACAATGACGTGTAGTGACATGGGGGCATCCTGCCTACGGCTCCGACAGCTCTGGTGTGTGCAAGCGCCTGCGCAAAGTGGTGCAGATCGTTGCCAGCGGCCGCGCTTTTGCCGCGGTGACATCATACGGATCTGTTGTTACCTGGGGCTTGCCGAAGATGGTTGCTGACACTGCAATGGTACGGCAGCAGCTCTATGATGTGAGAAGCGTGACTGCAGCTGCCCAGGGCGAGACACAGGTGCCAAAACCCAAAGCTCATTGAGTTTCTTGTGCCCACTTGGAAAGTCACGCACAAGGAATTGAAGCTCATGGAAAAGAACTTGATTTCGAAAGGGGGGCGCAACGGGGTCCCACCTGCCCAGAAATGCTCTTGGTTCAAAGATGTTGTCCAGGATGGTGACGTGCACCCGCATCCAGGGCCATCAGGACGCAGCCAGCAGATGCAGTTCATGTCTATTAATGTTGGTGGGGCCTCCAACTGCTGGGCGGCGGCCCGATGGGCAACTAAACATCGCCCGCCTGTGGTGGTGGTACAAGAAGTTTGCATGAACACGGCTAAGCAAGCTGACTTGGCTGACTTTATGCTCCGAAATGGTTATAGATCTTGGTTTGCTTGCCCTCCGACCCACGGTGGGGGAGGAATTTTTGTAAGGTTTGATAATCTGCACACCTCCTCAGAACTCACACCCGTGCCGAAGGTCAAGCGGTCATGCTCCAGCTCGACCACGCCATCCTCATAGGTGCCTATTTAGCGCCTAACTCAGCGGCATGCGACATTGCTTCCACTTTGGATGAATGGGTTGGAGCAACTGGTGAACACACCCCTTTGGTTATTGTGGGTGACTTTAACGAGGAACCTTGTTTTGGGGAAAGGTGGAACCACATAAGCGGATTTGGCGGCACTTGTGCGGTTTGCAATCAGAATGATGTCCCACAGCCCACGCGGTGGTCTGGTACCCGGTGTATTGATTGGATTTGGGCTTCGCACTTGCTAACAATTGACAAGGTGCGATTTGAAGATGTTTGGTTTTCCGACCATAAGCCCGTTTGTTTTTCTCTGCAATATAGCCAAAGCCATGTTTGGTCCTTTAAGGCAGTTCAAACGAGGAAATGGACGGCGCCGCCAAATGTTTCTTTGCAAGAATGGAAAAATGCTTTAAAAACTCCGTGGTCGGAAGTCACGGTCCCTCCAGTTTCTAATACCAACCAAGAATGGAGTGATTTTGTCACATTGCGGAGAGAGCACACCTCTCTGCCCTGGAAACCTGCGGGGCTACTGTTCCAAGGCCAAGCCGGAGTAGAAACAAAGGTTCAGAGTTTCAAGTTGAAGCAGCGAATGCTCGTACCTTTCGCATCGCCCAGCAAGCGACTTTCAAAGAACTCCGGCTGCGCAAGCTTTTGGGCCGTATTGCTGAAGCCCAAAACCAGCAAAGCCGTGGCCGCCAGCCACCGGCCATCCTGATCCGTCGTATCTTCTCTCATCCTTTTGTTGTCAGAGAAGGCTTGCAAAGCTTAGGTGAAGCCAGGGAATGGGCACAGCAAGAATTGCGTACCATAAGCCCGTTTGTTTTTCTCTGCAATATAGCCAAAGCCATGTTTGGTCCTTTAAGGCAGTTCAAACGAGGAAATGGACGGCGCCGCCAAATGTTTCTTTGCAAGAATGGAAAAATGCTTTAAAAACTCCGTGGTCGGAAGTCACGGTCCCTCCAGTTTCTAATACCAACCAAGAATGGAGTGATTTTTGTCACATTGCGGAGAGAGCACACCTCTCTGCCCTGGAAACCTGCGGGGCTACTGTTCCAAGGCCAAGCCGGAGTAGAAACAAAGGTTCAGAGTTTCAAGTTGAAGCAGCGAATGCTCGTACCTTTCGCATCGCCCAGCAAGCGACTTTCAAAGAACTCCGGCTGCGCAAGCTTTTGGGCCGTATTGCTGAAGCCCAAAACCAGCAAAGCCGTGGCCGCCAGCCACCGGCCATCCTGATCCGTCGTATCTTCTCTCATCCTTTTGTTGTCAGAGAAGGCTTGCAAAGCTTAGGTGAAGCCAGGGAATGGGCACAGCAAGAATTGCGTAGCCATGTCCAAAGCACTCAAACAGAGCAGCTCCAAGCTTGGCGCGAGCGTATGAGGTCCAGTTGCAAAGACGCAGGTCGGTGGGTCAAGAAATGCAACACATTGCCTGTCACTTCTGTTTACGATGATGGTTATAAACAAGGAAAAGCAACCTCTTCTGATCATGAATCCTTAAAGGCTGTTCTTTCTTTTTGGCAAAAAAATTGGGAACGGGACCGGCCCGACCCTGAAGAAGCAGTTGATTTCTGGAAACTTGGTGTTCCCCAACCTTCACCCCTAGCTTGGACCCCTCTCACTGCTGAGGAACTCTTCAGCCAAGCCTCTAGGCTGCGTGGCACAGCCGCCGGATGCGATGGGTGGTCAGGTGACGAAATTGCAGCCTGGCCCAAAGAAGCTTGGGTCATCCTGGTTGAGTTGTTGAACAGATGGTTCTCGAGAAGTGAGGTTCCCACGGTTTGGAAAAGTATTCGGCAAATTTTGCTCCAAAAACCAAACGCTAAGTTGCGTGACACGGATCACGCGTTGCCAGCCAAAGATTTGCGGCCAATTGCGATTCAGAGCGTCATCTGGCGCGCCATTGCCTCTGCGTGGACGCGCAGACCGCAGACGCGAGCTTGGGTCACGAGCTGGGTCCACTCCTCAGCCTGTGGCGGCATCCAGGGGAAAAGTGTTGCTCATGCCGTTGATCGGCTGCTTCAAGACTTTGAAAAGAGACAGGGCGGGGTCCTCCTTTCTTTAGATTTTTCTAAATGTTTCGACACCGTTGATCCCCGAATTGGAATTAAATGCCTTGAGTATCTAGGTTGCCCCAAGGAAATCCTCTTTGCTCTTACCTCAGTTTGGAGCCAGGAAAGGTGGTTGTGTTTCAGAAGAGATTGCCTGCCGCAGCCAGTGCAGGTCGACACTTCGATCCCTCAGGGAGACGCCATCAGCCCTTTGACTCTTCTTGCAGTCCTCACTGGCCTCACAGGCCGGGTGTTGCAAGCAAGGCCTGAACCACACACTTTGGCACCTTTTTGGATGACCGAAACATGGTGGCTAAAACGCCCGAGCTAGCGGCCCAGTTGTGGGACACCTGGAAACAGCTCTCACCGAAGGTGGGTTTGAAAGAGAACGAAGAAAAAATTCAAATCGTGGCTCGGCAAGCTGCCTTTAAGCCCAGATTGATTGCCGCGGGTTTCGACGAAACTCACATTGTGCAAGGTGCTAGAGTTCTAGGGGTTGATTTTACGGCACGGTTAGGAGCTGCGCACAAGCCTTCTCAAGATGCGAGGCTGCAAGATGCCCGCTTGAGGGTCGAAAGAATTGGACTTCTGCCTGTTACAGCCAGTCTTAAAGCTTTCTTGGTCAGTTCTTTGGCAATTACAAAAGCTGCATGGGGGGCTTGGCTCAAACCCCTCTCTGCCAAACCTTTGTCCACTTGCATTCGAAAAACGACTGGTGGCAGCCATATTGCTGGCTCCCCCAATTTGTTTTACATGCTCTCAGGTCATAGGCTGAACTTAAATTTTGCTGCAGGTTTCGGAGCTTATATTCACTTGGCTCCTATTGTGCGTGAAAACCCACGGCGTTGGCCCAATGCTGCTACCAGAGGTACATGGCTCGGCACGGTCCGTAGCTGGCTCCAAAGTTTGAATTGGCACGAAGAGGCCGCATGGACATGGATTCACCCGGACATTCAATTCCGGCTTGATTGGACACAACCCATTGATGAAAACACCAAACAGAGAGAACACCATGCTTTGCGTGAAGCGTGGCGCAGACAACAGTTTCAACAGTTCTTGTCAAGTGGCCGTCGTGATGCCACTGCTGTACAAGGAAGTGTTTATCAAGAGGCCAGGGCCAAACTCACGCGCCAAACATACCAGTCTTCCAACACTCACTCACGTGCTTGCTTGATTGGTGCCGTTGTTTCAGATGCCCGTTTAGATAGGATTCGAGACCACAACACCGCACCAGCTCCTTGCAAGTGGTGTGCGTCTGGCAATGTGCCAACATGGGATCACTTGGCCTGGGACTGCCCAGCCTTTGCTGCGACCCGAACGTCGCCCCCGCATGATCTTTTGCAGAGAGTGCTAGGTTGGCCAACAGGCCGGAATGAACAGGTTGATGCTGCGATCTTGACCCACTTGGGCTGTGTCCGAGAGCGTGTGTTTGGATCGAAGATATCGCAGCAACTAAGGTTCTTGAATTTCTTGGGTCGCAGTGTCTACTTGGCCTGCTGCCTTCCAACTATGATTACATTTGCCGCCCTTCGTCATGATGGGTCTGTCGTCACCTGGGGTGATCCGTCGTGTGGCGGAGATAGGGCAAACTGAAGGGAGTGACGCAGATTCACTGCACGCATACTGCATTCGCTGCCATTGTGTTGGATGGGTCCGTGGTTGCTTGGGGAGACCCTATAGTAATGGAGGAGACAGCTCGATGGTCCAAGACCGACTTCAAGGCATTGTGAATGTTCAGGGCCTTATGCATTTGCAGCTGTCACGGAGGAAGGGTCGCTTGTCACCTGGGGAAACGCCACCTTGCGAGGCGATAGTTCTGTGATACGAGAAAGTCCGGCAAGTCACACCCTCTTTGAAAGGGTTCTTTGCCAATGCTGACGGATGTCAAGTTACATGGGTCTGCCAAAGCGTTTGCAGCAGTGCGCTACAATGGATCCATTGTTACATGGGGAGCGCAGGACGGAGGCGGGGACAGCTCCGCAGTGCAATCTGCGTTTGCCACTTTCTAGTTGCAGTGGCCATTAATGTTGCTACTGCAGCTGCGGCAAAATTAGACATCTTCACAAACTTGGACATATGGTATAGACAAACAGGTCTGCGGCACAGCCTGCTATGGTGTAAAAATTTGCGATGGGAAGCTGGGCGCAATGGTAATCTAGTGGTCGAAATAGTCGGGACATCCTCCCAATTCCTCAGATGCACTGTCTGCTGCAGCTGCCCTGCATGCTCAGAGAACCTCATGCTTTTTAACTACAGTGTGGTGTAGCATTTGCTTGTCTGCGCCTATCTTCATCCGTTGGGCTCAAATTTAGGCACGTATTGTCAACCTGTGCTCTCCGAGCCGGGCGATTGACGTAGACATCGTGACATTGAGCTGATATGTAGATGTACGTGTTCATGCTGTGAACAAGATCATCATTGTCATTTACAACCTTGTAGCTCTGCTTTGAAGCCGTGGCCGACGAAGCGCAAGCGACTCGGCGAGCCTTCACCATTCAGGGGCCGCAGGTTGCCTTAGCTATGCTGCGAGGTTCCAAACGTATAGAATCTCGGAAGAGGCGGATGGCATCTGACTGGTACTATTTTCACGTTGGCCGTTAGTCAATCAACAGCTTGCCCCCCGAATGTTCGGCCGCCCTGCGCCAGACATGGCCGGATGCGCCAGAGGAAGCTTCTTTGTCCAAAAGTTGCGTGGTTGGGATGGTGTGCCTAGGGAAGGTGATTCACAAAAGCCGAAGTTGGCAAAAGCACCAGCATCAGAAGCCTTGCAGGCCAGCACAAGCCCGCAGAGGGGACCTGACCGTTGCAGTCTTGCCCAACGGCTGGCAGCAGGAAGGACGTTGGAGCTGCTGACAACACTGATGGTAGTGCATTTCCTGAAGATCTGTGCTGCCAAAGTCACACAGTTGCAGCCCAGAGGAGGTCTCTTTGCTTTCCGGGACGATCAGCCGGTGTTCATTCTGAGTGTATGGACAAGCAGAAAAATTACTTTGGCTGATGTGGTTCCATTGAAGCAGGCAACTTTTCAAGGACGAACCGTCCTCAAAGCCAAATACACAGAGACCCGCACATGCAGATGGAGTGAGCTCAAAGATGTTGGCTTACATTTCCAGGTTGCCAACTGTGCGAATGATCGCCGTGGAGCGAGTGGCTTGGCCTCGATGATTTTTTGTAACATGTTGCCATCCTTTAAAGAGAGACCCGCAACAGATTGTTTTTATGTAGCCTTGCATGCCTAGGCTTGCTGTTCCAGAAGCAACCGGGGGAAACACAAGGAGATCAAGGCAGAGCTTTGCGCGAGAATGCAGCTTTGGCAGCTCTCTGGCAGGCTGGCAATGCAGAGCTAGGTTTGGCCACTTCATGCACAGTTGATCACTCGGTGCGATCCGTTCTGCCACGTTTGCAGGCGCACCTGGCCGAACGAGCTGCTTCAGGTATTACCCATCACGCGGCCCCACGCGCAGATGAGAGCCGTTCCTTTTGGATTCTGGACCTGCCATTGCCAGTGCAAGTGGATGGTCGCCGCCATCGCTGCCATACGTGCGCGCACTTGCGCATCTTCGACAACTGCACCGTGGAGACACATGATGTTGTTGCAGCCTATCCTGACCTGCCCTGCTGGTGCACTACGTGAAGAAGCAAGCCCCTGTTTTGCTGACACGGCGATTCCTGCTCCATTTGGTGCAGCTGTTCTACGACCGCCTCAACTCTAGGGCAACGAGGCGGGCTTTGGTGGAGCAAATCTGTGGCAATGCTCTTTCCCTCAATGTAGCTGGGCGCATGAAAGAATTTTGCAGTGCAGTGCCCAAATCTGTATCCATCCGCTCCATTCTCATGGCAGCATTGGAAGATTACACCAAGGCAGCTTCACGCGAGATGCAGCGGCTCATCAATGTGTACAGTGGTTCAGTGATCAGAGGAGATGGAAACCAGGATGTAGCAAAAAGGATTACAATGTATGATGAAGCAAGTCAGAAAACACACCCATATACGGTGCTCCTAGCTTGGGTCACGGTAGACGGGGCCTTGTTTCAGCCTGTAACAGCAGCTGAAACAGAAGACTGGGTCGACTTGCAACCTGATCTGGATGCTGTGGTAACCAACCTGAAACAGGACAGGCTGGCATCAGGCCTGTCCTTAGCTGAGGCAGCCCCAGTAGCTCACGCCACGGACAGTTTCAGAAAGCAGCGATTGCTGCTTGATGCATTTTACAAAAACAAGTACCCCAAGGAGCAAGAGGTGGAGGCGTGTCTCCAACCATCGTATGCGGAGATCCGCTGCATGACCAGTTGGCGCTACAGCGCAAGGTAAGTGCAGCGAGTCCAGATGCCCCATGCCTCATTGCTGATCACAAAGACATCCTGCAGCGGTTGTCCTTGAAACCAAGGGTGGCAGAAGATGTTCCACCTGTGCTCTCTGAGCCAGGTCTTTTCCTTGAGCTTGAAGAGGCCATCATCCTCTATTGAAGTCGGTGGTTGAAGATCTACAGGACCGTATTGCTGCAGCACAGGTGATAAGAAATCGCTTCTTTCTTGCTTTGTTCTTGCTTGGACAGATTTGGACAGATCGGACAAGTTTGTGAAGCACGGCAGAGAAATATTGATCTGCTATGATCTGCTCGTCGGTTCCCCATACCGGATGTCCACTGCTGCACTGCATGATCTGACTGTTGCCAGCTATTCGCCTATATGTGCCTCTGTTGCCTTTGTTTTGGTTGAAAACTCGGGTCGACTGAATTAGTTCTGTCTACCTGTGTTCTCGGAGCCGGGCAATGTCAGGACAGTATATCATTGAGTCATTGAACCTATTAATGCAACACAATCACACACACACACAAGCAGCATCAGAGTCACCCTTTTAAAGCCTCTAGCCCTATGTTAATGGCAACGCAGCGCCCTTTCTGCTGACGCCGCAAGATGCTTCCCCCCGGTGATGCTGGGTATGGAATTTGGCCTGGCAATTTTTATTGTGGTGTGCGATCCATGGCTCCGTTTGGTGCGTGGCTCCCTTGGCAGGAGGGTGTGACCTTAGCTGCAGCCTTTGGCTTCACAGAGAATGTATGCTTTGAATGTGCTGACACCTGGTTGCAGCTGGATGCTCTGGAATTTGACCCTCCAAGGCGGTCTGGAGATGGCAGCGGCCGGGCAGATGTGCAGCGGATTCGCTTGCTCTACAAGCCTGATTTACACGGAGATGATGGGCTCGTTATAGTTTCCTCTGACGAGGAGGATGTCATCTCCCCGCAGCATGCTCCACCAGACGTATGTAGACGCTGGCGTTCAGGTGCATTAGAGCCCCATTGCGGGTGTTGAAGTTGACCTTGCATTGCCGCGGGCGCTGGATGAGCAAAATGTTCGTCTCTTGCTTGTCTACTGGCACCTGTACAGTCAAGTTGATCAAGAACGTCCACCTGAAAATTTGCCGCCAGACATTCCGCTATGGGCTTGGGAGTTGTTTTCAAAACCAAGATTTCATTGGACAGGCTCGGGTTCAAGCGTTGCAAGAATCTTGTTTGCAGACGCTGCAGGCCGCAGACCACAAATTATCCGTACCTGATTAGCGCCGCGCTGGCTTCGTCCACTGCGGCCTGTGGGTCTCAATGGCATGGACGATATTGTGCTCTCAATCGCAAGAAACTTCCAGAAAGCAGTCCTTTTGTACACTAGGCCAAGCAGTTTTTGATAATGTCGCGAGGTTAAAAAATTCGCTGCGCGCTGCAGAAGTGTTGAAACTGAGAGATGTGGAGGGCATGTGAACATTTTCACATTGTTCCGGCTGTCCACGCAGCGCAGCATGAGAGCCAGTTTGGTTGCATGGAGTCGATATCACGCTTGGGACTGCAAAGGCAAATCCGACAAATATGACCATGATACCACGCATTGACAAGTGCTCTCCGGTACCCAAGCCGCGCCATCAAGTTCAAGTTGTAGGAGTTAGCTTCCTAGACATGGCCACGTGTGAAGTTTGTGGAGATGGTTTCGCAGACGATGCGGAAAAACACTTGTGCTCCCCGAGCCGAGACTCTTGCTCGCACGTGTGCCACGCGGATTGCTTGCAGCAATACCGATTAAAGCAGGGCTGCCCTATGCATGACTGCCCATTCTGTCTTCAGAATGAAGATTCCCAGGAAGAGGCTGATGATGCCGCTTTGCAAGAGATGGAGATTGAGGCAGCAATGGAAGTAGAGGCTGTGGCTGAGGGGGTAAAAAGAAAGACCAGAGGACAACGCAGCCCAGTGCCGCCCACCCAAAGGTCCCCAAGCCCAGAAAGCCCTCCCTTCACACAGGGTGGAAGTGAAGCAGCCCGCTTGTCCATTCCAAGCTTTGGGATTGACATCTACGGACCTGAGTCGGACCAGCAAGGCATCTACCACGGTGAAGGATCCTATGCACGACGCCATGTCGGAGTACTTGGCTTGCAGGGATGAAGCACAAAGCCTTTCGTTGCTTCACACCAAGAGCACATATCAAGGGCTTGGAAGCCCAGAGGCTTCTTATCAAACCGTTCTGAATGCAGCCTTGAAAGAACCCAGGGACCACCACGCTGTGGCATCAGACTTTGCCTTCAGAACTCGAGAAGTGCTGCCCGTGCCTTTCGAAGTCAGCTTGAAAACCATTGCCCGCAAGGAAGGTTGGGAGCCTGAGACATTCATGGCGCCTATCCTCAGCAACATTGGTTGGATGGAGCATCCATGCAGGCACGCGGCTTCGATTGCAGCCTGATGAGGAGCACCGACGTGGCTGCGTAGTCTAGATTGTTTGCGCTGGTGACCCCAGCATGCGCAAGAGTTCTTTGAAGGATTTTACCAGCAAAAAGCTTCTTTCCCATGCAGATGTCCCTGCTGTCATCAAGGCAGGTGGCGCCACATGCACGGATGCCACCATCAAGGGTATTCGTGCTTCTATCAAAGAATATGCCCGAGCTGGCATCATTTCGGATGAGATTGCCACAACAATATGCCGTGACATCCGGGAGGGAGACCCGACACTCAGGTCTGCATTACGGCAACAAAGAAAAGATGTGCACTTGGCTGAACTGCGAAGATGACAAGACAGTCACTGGAGATGGTGCCACGGCGCTGAGTCATTACACCCAAGTGTATGGACTGGTGTCGCTTTGTGAGTATGTGCTCCAGCCGACTGCAAGCATGTTTTCCAAGAGAATCCATGCGACGTGGCAAACAAGGCCAGTGACAAGTGACCCTGATCAGCAGAGCCAGTCCAGCAAAGAGTTCCTGATTGACTTCTTTGGTTGGATGGGGCGCGTGGCAAGCAACCAGGACAAAGACCACTATTTTGACAAGTTCGCCTTGCCCGTGCTCAGGAAGGCTTTGCAGGGAATCTCCGACTTCTTTCACGAGAATCACGAGAATGTAGAAGAACCAATCTAACAGAAGCTACGCTATGCTGACACAGATGTGGCTTGGTACGCTAATGCAGCCATGCGTTGCAGGCAGTATTCTGAGGCCCGCTGCGCGTTGGCCCTTGATAGGATCATAGATGAGTTTGCCGTTGAGATGACCGTCTTCGATTTGTGACATGCCTTGCATATCTGGCGTCGCCAAATGTGCTTGTGGTTTGCCTTCTATCGCTCCAAGCAAGTCCAAGCCTTGGTAGGCCCCAAAGCCGTGCCAGATGTCAAGACCCCAGGACTTGCAGATTTGGATGCCAAGATGAAATTGCAGCGAGTTCATTCTGTCCAATCCTCGATGTGCTGGTCCAACCTCCACTGCGCACATTCGCTCTGTTCTGAAGTACCACTTTCAGAAGGAGAAAGAGGAAAAACCAGCAAAGTACGTCTTGGCAGCAGTCAAAGACCTCTTGAAAGTTGGCATCTTGCAAGAGGTTGACAAGAAGGAAGTGGAAGAACAGGCGCCCAAACTTAAGGACAAGAAAAGCGCCAAGAGCAAGGAGGCCACGCTAAAGAGCGAGCCACGAGGCCCGCCAGGTGGCCACGCTGTCCTGTACTACCAGACATGTGCCTGGGAGGGCCTTTTGACTAATTCGGAAGCTCAAGACATGATTGCCAAGCTTCAACTGAGTGCCAATGATTTCAAGTAGGATTCCAGAAATACGAGGTCTTGCACGGTCCCATGTCTAAACTGTCAGCCCAAAAAAAGAGTGACAATGTGCTCCAAAGCACTTGTTGTATATAAGTCTTGTTTCCAAAGATACGCGTCAATAATGGTGCGATTCCTCGAAATTAAGCTCTGGCTTCTTTCCAGCCCGAGCGTGTTCCTGACCCTACGAGGTGAATGCTTTCAATCAAGACTGTATGGTGGCTGCAACATATTGTGCGTCAATTTCAATCAACCCACCCATTTTCATGACAAGACATTGTGGTGTGAAGATCTTACATAGTGGTTCATCATCGTGTCCAAAGCCGCATTCAAAACAGTCTGCTTGGCCTTCTAGTGTTCAATCGTGTGCGCTGGTGGCATGAGATTGACAAAGGCCCAATCTACTCTTTTTGAGGCAAAGCGGACAGCCAACACCGCGGCTCCAAAATAGTTTGTGCGGCGCATGTGAAGCCACTGTTCGCTGAACATAGCCGTTCGAGATGTTGAAGCAAGACACATGTTTTATTTTTTCCTGATCAAGTCCAAGAAAGAATTGAAACTTGCACCTGTTTATTCTGTTTTCTACCATTTCTGTTTTCTACCATCCTTTCCGACTGCGATATAATTTTTCTGCTGCATGGGGGAATTAAAGAAGACTCACGGGAGTCCTGTCCACACCGATCATGTCGCTGACTCCTGCGTCTGCAGGTGCCGATGCTAAGTGGCACCAGGACAATGGCTTCTACCTTAGGGATTCAGCAGATGCTGATGCCAGCATGCGTGATGTTGGTGCGCAATCAAATAGAGATGGCACAATAGTCCACTCCTCACTGTGACCATCGGGTCTGTGGTCCCGCGGGGCACGTGCACTGCGCGTCGGTGCGCATTGCCGGAATGGCTGGAGGTTGCTTCCGGTGATGCTTGATGCTTAATATCTTAATGTCACATTGGTGTCATGTAATGTTCAACGCAATTTTTCTAGGACATGTTTAAACATAGTCGATCTTTGTTTGGTCTCATACAGACCTTGTACAAAAGGATCTTGCACAGCAGCGCCTAGAAAGAACCTGTCAAGGAGATCTTGCACACGTCTTCTACAAAGGGAACTTGCAGAATCCAATCTGGTATTGTTGCAACGGTGTTTGGAGTCGCCACTTAATCCCCGTCGGCCGCTCCACTCGCCCCACTCGCCCCACTCGCCCCACTCGCCCCCCTCGCTCCACTCGCCCCACTCGCCTCACTCGCCCCACTCGCCCCACTCGCCCCACTCGCCCCACTCGCCCCACTCGCCCCACTCGCCCCACTCGCCCCACTCGCCCCACTCGCCCCACACGCCCCACTCGCCCAAACATTCCATTCACGTTACCACCTCTATTCCTTTTTCATACTGCTGTGTGGTGAAACCAAAGCAAGCGGGGCAAGCGGGGCAAGCGGGGCAAGCGGGGCAAGCGGGAAGAACCACCGATCTTCCCTCGGTTTGCAAGTAGGGCAAGCGGGGCAAGCGGGGCAAGCGGCAGAAATCACTTAGCGGCCCCGCGGGGCACCCACACTGTTTCATTACATTTAATTACATTTCATTAAATTTCATTACATTTACATTTCTTTACATGTCATTACAATTCATTGCATTTCATTACGTTTCATGACATTTCATTACAGTTCATTACATTTACATTTCATTACATGTCATTACAATTCATTGCATTTCATGACAGTTCATTACATTTCATTACAGCTCATTACATTTACATTTCATTACATGTCATTACAATTCATTGCATTTCATTACGTTTCATTACATTTCATTACAGTTCATTACATTTACATTTCATTCCATGTCATTACAATTCATTGCATTTCATTACGTTTCATGACATTTCATTACAGTTCATTACATTTACATTTCATTGCATGTCATTACAATTTATTGCATTTCACGACAGTTCATTACATTTCATTACAGTTCATTGCATTTATATTTCATTGCATGTCATTACAATTCATTGCATTTCATTACGTTTCATTACATTTCATTACAGTTCATTACATTTACATTTCATTACATGTCATTACAATTCATTGCATTTCATGACAGTTCACTGCATTTCATTACAGTTCATTACATTTACATTTCATTCCATGTCATTACAATTCATTGCATTTCATTACGTTTCATTACATTTCATTACAGTTCATTACATTTACATTTCATTACATGTCATTACAATTCATTGCATTTCATTACGGTTCATTACATTTCATTACAGTTCATTACATTTACATCTCATTACATGTCATTACAATTCATTGCATTTCATTACGGTTCATTACATTTCATTACATTTACATTTCATTACATGTCACTACAATTCATTGCATTTCATTATGTTTCATTAGATTTCATTACAGTTCATTGCATTTACATATCATTACATGTCATTACAATTCATTACATTTCATTACGTTTCATTACATTTCATTACAGTTCATTACATTTACATTTCATTACATGTCATTACAATTCATTGCATTTCATTACAATTTATTGCATTTCACGACAGTTCATTACATTTGCATTTCATTACATGTCATTACAATTCATTGCAATTCATTGCGTTTCATGACATTTCATTACAGTTCATTACATTTACATTTCATTACATGTCATTACAATTTATTGCATTTCACGACAGTTCATTACATTTCATTACAGTTCATTGCATTTATATTTCATTGCATGTCATTACAATTCATTGCATTTCATTACGTTTCATTACATTTCATTACAGTTCATTACATTTACATTTCATTACATGTCATTACAATTCATTGCATTTCATGACAGTTCACTGCATTTCATTACAGTTCATTACATTTACATTTCATTCCATGTCATTACAATTCATTGCATTTCATTACGTTTCATGACATTTCATTACAGTTCATTACATTTACATTTCATTGCATGTCATTACAATTTATTGCATTTCACGACAGTTCATTACATTTCATTACAGTTCATTACATTTACATTTCATTACATGTCATTACAATTCATTACATTTCATTACAGTTCATTACATTTCACATTACATTATTACCCATTTACATTTCATTGTCAGTTTCATTTACATTTATATTGGGCATTTCACACGACAGTTCCTTACAAGAAACTTTCATTACAGTTCATTACAATTCATTACATTACATGTCATTACAATTCATTACATTTCATTACAGTTCATTACATTTCATTACAGTTCATTACAATTCATTACATTACATGTCATTACAATTCATTACATTTCATTACAGTTCATTACATTTCATTACAGTTCATTACAATTCATTACATTACATGTCATTACAATTCATTACATTTCATTACATTTCATTACATTTCATTACAGTTC